AGAAGTTAATAGCAGTGCTAATAGCCAGCACTGAATGGCTGGCAAAAATATTCTGCCTCTGCTGTTCCTGAAGAGGAGGAAAACAAATGCTTTTATTTTCTAACTGTGTAACACCAACCAGGATCCAGTACTCAATCTTCTGATTCAGCATAAGTAAGAAATATGAACAACTGCAGTTACAGAAGTTGTTCTTAGATGTAACAATTCCAGTTTTTAAAAATTTTCACTGATGGTTTCTGTCAATGATTGCTTCTGTCAGTGAGTAGTCAAACACAGTGCTGCAACACAGACATGATCCTCAAAGTCACACTGTATATTTGTGGCCCCTCACTGGACAACCCAGTTTTCAGTGTGAGAAAGTAACTGTCACAGACAGCAAGTAATTGTTGTCTCTTTCAGACCACAAGCACGCAGCCCACTGTCTGCTGCTACTTTTTGCCAGGATTTCTAGGATATGAATATTAATGAGTAGCAGATACGAGGGGCCTTCTAATTAGTCAGACAGATCAAAGAAGGCAGTCATGATGTTTCCATTGTTCATTTATCTCCGCTAGCATCAGTTTCTTGAAGTGCTGACTTGGTGTCTGGGACAAACAGGACAGGCAGAAAAAAATCCACCTGTTGGCTGAATCACTGCAAAGTACCACAGTCCACATAAAGAGGGTTATCACCCAGCTGTACCTTTGCACATGTCGCTGATCCTCTCCTTGAAGACGTTGTGCCCATGGTCATCCACATGGGTCTTCAAGAAGTTCTTGAAGCGGTGGTAGATCTCAAGCCGGGGAGCCGCCATGGAAACCCACTCCCTCACTGAATGCCCTTTCATGTCTTCCAGATTTTCGATGCTCTCGATCATGTCTTCATCCTCCTCCTCTATGCCATCAGCAGCCCGTTCTGCCAGCCGCCTCTTCCGTGAAGGACGGTCTTCATCTTCATCGTCGCTGTCTATGGGTTGGGAAGACAAATCAGTCAGAGTTGAGTTTCCCATTCTCCCTCTTTGGAATGGTCATGGATGAACTGCAATGGGCTGAGGAAGCAAAGAGGTTGGCACTTACAAACCAAAAACTACCCCAGGCCCAGCCAAACTCTAGTTCAGCTCCAGCCTAATTTCTGCACCTTCCACAGTAGCTGAAGTCTTTAAAGGGGAAGATTTGTAATCAACAGCACTCAAACATGTCCATTAACATACCAAGGAAGCAAGTCCAAACAACATACTTTTAAGTGCATCAAAGACCCTCCCACCCAGCCCACAGAAGCCTCTGTCATCTCCACCTACCATAGAGCAGCCCCCTCCTCATGCGGCCCATGCCCTGCTCCAGCTCACGGTCCCGCTGCCTCATCACTCTCTCTGCAGCTTCCCGCTGGCTGGCAGTCAGCTCCTCCACATCTTCATCATCCAAGGCCAGGCCCTCTGCCTCGTAGACATCCAGCTCTGGAATGGGCCGGTAGTCCCTAGGGCACACACAGAGCATTGAAACAATCTCCAGAAGGCATTTATCCAGCTTCCCTTGGCTATCAGTGAGTCAGGACAGATGATCTGCATCAGACAGAGCCCATGGGACAGGAAGGAGCAAGGGGAGATGCCCTGCAGTATGAAAGGCTCCAACACCAGGATTACAAACGCCAGCACTCAAGTCTCTGTATTGTACAGTTCTCTGGCTAGTTGGCAGGTCTGGCTGAGTAGCAAAGCATTAACATTCAAGAGCAAGGAGCTGGGCTCGATGCGCATCCTATACCTCAAGATCCAGGTTTATTGTCCCTAGATCACAATAGCACTTTGCTCCTGGTTTGCGATGTGTTCTGTGCTTCCAGAACTTTACACCATCACACCCTGACTCTTCTTTCCTTACCACCCAACAGCACTTCAGACCCTTCATTAGGCTACCAGCACCCACTGCTGGTCCGCACTGAGAATCCCAATAACAAAACCCCACCTACAAACGCAACTCCCCAGATGCTAGCTCTCAACGGCCTCTTTACCTCTCCATCCCCTCTCCGATGAGCTCTTCTCCTTCTTCCTCCTCTTCGGGGAGCCCTTCGGTGCCCAGGAGCCCTTCGGACTCATCCTCGAAGGGGGGCAGGTCCCTGCCGGGGCTGGACGTGAAGGCATCGCCGCGGCGGGAGCTGCGCACGGGGCTGGTGACCGCCGCCTGCGATTCGGAGGAGTCCTGCAAGGAGGAGGGGGCGGGTGAGGGCGGCTGGGGAGCGGGGCTGCTCCTCCCCGCCACCGGGCCAAGGGGGCTTGGTGCTTCCGGAGGACCGAAGGGGAATGCTGCTCAGCAATGAGTCCTGCTTCCCGAAAGGGGAAAAATTAAAATCGTGAATGTTCCCCACAAACTGCAACGGAAAGACCTGAGAACCAGCTCCGCTGAGCCCGGAACAAAGGAGAAGGTCTCTGAACCGCCCCAATGCTCCCTTCTCCGATACAGGGCCACCGGGAGACTTCTCAAGACAACCGGCAACTCCCGCGCCCCCCGGAATGAATAAATAAATACAAAGAAAAAAAATCAACAAACGCCTCCCAGGACAGGGAGGAATCGAGCTTTGCGTCCCGAGCCCGCCCGCCCTTTCTCCCCAAGCCCCGTTCCGGCCGCTCACCGCCATCGCTGCTTCCTACCCCGCCGGATTCCGCGCGAAAATGCACCACGTGGGCAGTAAAAGCGCGCGAAACCTCATGAATAATGAATATATCTGCCGCTTGCCCCGCCCACCTCGTGAATATGCATGACCAAATTTCCTCCTGCTCGACTAAACCCGCGCTTGGCCGCGGGCAGCGTGGCGAGATCGGGCAAGAGCGGTTTGAGTTGAGTGCTGAGCTTCTCGGAGAGCTGCGTTGGGCAGCTAAACCTATCAGTAAATTGAGGCAGCTGTAAGGACAGGGTTCCTTCTGCTAGGCCCATTGACATGAAGGGTGCGGGTCGGGACTCAGAGGCTCAGCTGTTCCTTGGAAACTACTACAGACACAAATAGTGTCATGACACTGTTTAACAGATCAAATTCTCCACTTCAAAATGCTATTTTTCAACGTAGTTGCAACAATTATCTGTGTGTTCTCCATCAGCAGTGCTGGACAGTCTTCACGCCGCGGTCGTAAAATCCTGCAGCAGCAGGAGTCACTGCTGAACTGTCACTGTCACCACTGCTGAACTGCATGACCCAGTGCCTCACTGTGCTCACTGCTGGCAGAAAGGTTCAACCTCTAGTGCCATCCCACAACATCCCCCTTTGATGCCGTGGGCCAGTATCATCATACAGGAGGAAACGCCTTCAGAGCAGCCTTTGTAACACTGTGCACAGAAGTATGTATCTATTTCAGTCACTGTGGCAACTACTTGAAGGGGCACTATGCATACGTCCTTCAATATCACCTACTGCTACAAGCCTGTGACCAGAAGGGCAGCACAGACACCATGAATAACTAGATGTTCTGGCTGATGCATTCACCCTCTCTTCCCACAGAGCAGCCGGGCCCCAAGGTGTGCACTCAGCACCCACCAACAAACCAAACTGGTGTGATGTTAGCCATACCTGTGCTGAAACTGGAGCAAGGGGCGCAGGGCTAACCTCTGCTGCAGCAAAGAAGGGCGTTTTGATACGCTGGCTAAACGCAGGCTTCTCAACAGCCAAAAACATGCGGCCTTACTTTCCGTTTGGATAAAGGCAACTGAGAAGAGGATTGGAAACCAGGTGTTTACCTGGGATTTCTTGTATATCCTTCAGCGTCCAATACCTTGAGTTGCTTACTGAACAAATTTAATGCGCAAATAACTGACAATAAAATAAAAACATAGACCCCTGTGAAGTACTGTCTGCTGTAAATCCACTGGGGGAGGCTACTGAAATCCCAGAATGATCCAAAGCAGCTGAAACGGTATGGATATCCCTGAAGCCAGAAGCTAAGCCCGCAAGACAAAAGCACTACCTCCTAAAAATGGAAGGTAGGAGAGGAACTCAGCCTCTGACTGGAAGGTTGTGACGCACAGACTGTTATGGGAATGCTGTTCACACTGCTGCACTGCACTTCTGCCAGCCAGAAAGCCTCACTCCACAGAATGTCAGTTGGTTCAGGATCAAAGGGCTACAAGTCCAATTGTGATGGAAGTACATCCCCTTACGGAAAGCCCACATACCCTCCTTTGTGTTGGAGGACAAAAACCCCAAAACTGGAAGGAAAACACCGTGGTGTTGGACTGTGCTCTGCCAGGACTTTAAAAATAGCCCCATCATATTTGGGAACCAGCTTGCTAAGGAACTGGAGGGATGGCAGCACAAACGGCTGGAAGCTACACTGCACCAGTGTGCAGATGAACTTCTTATAGGTGCTGAGTCAAGGGAGGAAATAACACAAGTGACAACAAGTCTCCTGAATTTTCCAAGCTCTGTGGGATGCAGAGTATCAAAGAAGAAAGCACCAATAGCTTGTCAGTTTGTGATTTATGTTGGTTTTACAATCCTTTGGGGATACCAAAGCCTAATGGGTGAGCTCAAGGAGGCTGTATGTCAAATACCAGGAAGAGACCAGTGGGCTATTTCTCTAGACAACTGGACCAAGAAATATAGGGTGGATGTCCTGTTTACAAGCAGTGGCAGCAGACCTGAGGCACTGCCTGAATGCTGGCCCACCCCACAGCCAGCAGTAGCTCTGGGGCTGCCCACATGTCCCAAACACAGCAACATCCCCAAGTTAACAAAAACAACCCCAGAAGGGGCTGCACTTGCCAGCCTGACCTCCACCACGTTGTGCATTGGAAACACTGCACCCTGCTGGTGTCGGAGCCAGAACCCAGCTCAGCCTGAACCAGGCCGTGGGGAGGAAGGAATGGGTTGGCTGCTGGGGGGAAGAGATCCCTGTGGTTGCAGCCCCTAAAGCTGCCCACCTTTGGAAAGGCAGAGAAGAATGAAACCGACAGTGGCATGATGGAACTCTAAGTTTTATTGTGGATGTTTATGGATCTGATGACAGCAAATGGAGCTTTTACACAACTGTTTCTGTTGCATCATTAGGGCCGGCTGTGGATGTGCTGGGCCTGACGTGGTACCCGGGAGCGGTGTCTCCCCCGGGGTGGCCCTCGCCGCCTGGATTGGCTCCTGCGGCGTCTTTGGGGCTGGCTGTGGATCTCTGCAGCCCGATGTTCAAGAGGGGAGCGGCTTCGAGTCCGCGCCCGCCCTGGCTGCCGGGACCGGCTTCCATCAGCCGCTGTGGAATCCCCTGAGGACCGCGGTGCTCTCCGTGTGGTGTAGCTGTGGGTGCAGCTCTTAGCACTTGGTGTTGGTGCCTGTCTGCTCCCACGGCGTGTTTGGTGCTGGCTTGGAGAACCTTGGGCCCGGCGCTGCAACGGAGAGCGGCTTCGTGTCCGGGCCCGCAGTCCCTGTTTGCACCAGCGGTTGTAGCCAAGTTCTGGGGAGTGCCTCGAGGACTCTGATGTGCTACGCCTGGCAGAGTTTAGGGAGCTGCTCCCAGCAATTGGGGCAGCATTACGGCAGCTCCCACGGCATCCTCGGGGCTGATTGTAGGTGTTCTCATCCCGGCGTAAATGCAGGCGGACTCTCCTCCGGCCCGTCCTGTGCTGGCTGGACCAGCTGCTGCTTGCAGGCACATGGGAACAGTCAGCTGACCCTGATGGTGCCTGGCTGGTGGTGCTGGAGCCTTGGGATGGCCCTGGTTCCTGCTGGGCGATGGTGCTGAGTCCAGCACTGTCCAAATTTGTGTTGGAGTCTGCAAGGGGAGGCAGGATGGTGAGCAGGATTGACCTATAGCATTGGGGTGTTACAGGCTTCTATCCCTCGTGGGCCAGAGGGACTTTTGCCTCTTACCGATGCCCTCTCCAGCACAGGTGTTGCACTCCCACTCGGCTGTGCTGTGACTCAGGTAGGAACAGCGCCGATGAGTCCCTTGTGCAGCACAGGAGCTGCAGAGGAGCAGCTCCCAGGGCCTGGGGAAACCAGTGGGTTGTGGCCGTGAGGACAAAGTGATCTGAGCCAGGGAGTGCCCAGCACAGCTCTGGTGCTCAGTCCGTGCTCCCCCAGCCTGTGGTGAAGCTGGGATCCCACGCAGAGCCCCAGAAGGCTGCTGAGGTAACTCACCCTTCTTCCTCTTCCCAATCTCTGCCCTGTGGATTAAGGCAGTCACTGGCATCACAGTGCTGGTACCTAACTCCCAGGGATGCAAAGGCATTGTCGTCCTCCCATGTTGGTCTTCTGCCAGAGGAGAGAGGGAATGCAATGATCACTCACTGCCCCAGGACTAAAACTAATCCATGGCATCCCCCCCGCTCCACTCTATGCCCAGTTTCAGCTTCCCAATGATGCTGAGGCCCGTGTTAAAGGCTGTACAGGGCCAGGCCTGCCAGTGCAGTCCCTTGCCAAGGACAGCTCTTGTGCCATCACATCTCAAGAGCTGGCTGAAAGACACGAACCTGAGTGGGATTCGGATCCCCATGGCGAGCATGTCTGCAATAAAAAAGTCCCTGTCTCTGCAGAGGGAGCACTGGAAGCAGTCAATCCCCGTGCACAGGGCCTGTTCCTGCAGCACAAACACAAGCAACGTGAGTGTGAGCCGGGCCTGGTGCTGCTGAGCACTGACCATTCCCATAGGGCGAGGGGAATGCTCCTACCTGGATGCACGCCCGGTGGAACCAGGCGTGTTGGCAAGACGGGCACACCATGGTGCTGTACGACTTGCTGTCACCTACGGGGTCCATGCAGATAATGCAGGTCGTGTCCTGCTCCGGCACTGCCTCCACTGCCTGCTGCGGGCGGTGCTCACAGCAGAAGGACCTGGGGGGAAGATGGGAGGGATGGGCAAGGTGAGAAGTGCTGAGGGGGGCAGAGGAAAAGGAACGAGCCCCAGGCCTTGGCTCTGGCTGTGTCAGGCTGCTGGGAGGTGTCACAATGCCTTGTGTGTTCCTCGCTTCTTTGGCTGCTGCTGACAGGAGGGGTTGGGGGCTCACAGGCAACACCTGGCAGCCCTTACCTGAACTCTCCAAAGTACTGGGTGATATATTCACCCTCTGAGGCACAGGGGAGATGGAAGCTGCGGTTACAGTCTGGCTCCGTGCAGGTGATGAAGGCCCCCCTCTTGCCACAAATGAAGCAGAGCTGGAAAGAGCAGAGCAGCCCCCATCAGCAGCAGGCTCAGGGCCTACACAGCAGGCCCCGCACCTCTGGAGAGGGCACAGGGTACAGGCAGGGCTGGGTGGCACTCTGCAGAGCTGCCCAGTGAACAGGGCTCATCTGCAAGAGCAGGAATTTCTCCTGGATCTGGTTGGAAGGGCTGGGATTGCTTTCTTTTGACCAGGCTAAGCAAGCAGTGCCTGTCCTGGCACAAAGCTCCCTGTTCTGGTCCAGTGCTCACCTTCTTCTCTGCCTGTCTCACTGTGCTTATCAGGTCGTGTAAATAAAATCTTGCACTGTCGCTATCTGATCCTGGTTGACAAAGATCATTGGAAGCTTTCTGTACAAGAGGAAAGAGCGTGATCTTGTTAGGGCAGAAAGGAGGGAATCACTAGTTGGAGGAAGGTGTCAGGAGCCACGTGGGAACCCACCACACAATACATATGGAAATAGTATCCACTGTGCTCTTCTTTGCACCCAAGGATGCTGGAGTCATCATCCACTCGGCCACACAGCACACATGCTGGAGAAGAGAGAGTAACAGCAGTGAGTGCCTTGAGGGGCCAAGTGCCCCTGGGGGCTCTCCTATGGGCTGCTCTGTGCCAGCTGTGCCAGCTGAGAGGCAGGGCTGGAGGCTGTGGAGGGGAAGGGGCACTGCAGGCCCAGTGGTGCCAGCAGCCAGCCACAGCCCAGCCGTGGCCCTCCTGGCAAGGAGCAGTGGGACCCTGCCCGCGGATGCTGGGGAGCCCCTGTGTGCCTCCGCCTCCCCTCTCCGCCACAGGCAGACCCCCAGCACCCCTCTGCCCAGTGACGGGGAGCTGCGTGCAGGGATACTTTGCTCTCACCTGGCTCCCTCGAGCTGGTGGCCTCCTGCGTCCCCACGCACACTGTGCGTATTGACGGAAACCACTTGCAGAGTCCCTGTCCCATCACTGCTGGGCTTTGTCCTCCGCGTGCCAACCTATGGGAGAAGCGGGATGAGGCTGAGTTCGCAGCTCAGGCCTCCGAGTGCTGGGGAACACTCCTCGCTTGGCAGCCTCAGGCAGCCCCTTCCTCTCTGCTCACCTCACCAGGTTGCACTCAGCTCAGCCTGAGCCCCGCAGCCTTAGCTCAGCTCCACACCCCACGTGTCTCAATGGCTGTTCCGTGCCACCCTCTGTGATGCCATCACACCTCACAGGGGCTGAGGGCACCCAAGCAGGAGGGTGGCAGCTCTTGCAGCCAGCACAGAGTGAGGGGCCGGCTTGATGGTGCTGCTGAAGGCACAGGGTGACACGTCCACCCTCCTGGCCCCACCTGAACGCTGCCGGGCCTGTGGCTCCATCAGTATCCCAGTCAAGCCTTTGCGTGTTTCCATGATGTTCTCGAGGCTTTACTTTTTGGTTGTTCGCTGCTGATTACCTCTGGTTACAATAAATGACTCGATTCACAGAATCACAGAATCTATGGCTGCCAAAGACCTCTAAGGTCACCAAGTCCCACTGCCCAGCTGCCCACGTCCCTCAGTGCCACATCCCCGTGGTTCAGGAACACCTCCACGGACACTGACTCCCCCAGCTCCCGGGCAGTTGTGCCAGTGCCTGACCTCTCTTTCAGCAGAGATGTTCTTCCTGATATCCATCGGGGACCTCCCCTGGCTCAACTTGAGGCCGTTCCCTCTCATCCCATTGCTGCTACCTGGGAGAAGAGGCTGACCCCCACCTCGCTACAACCTCCTTTCAGGGAGTTATACGGAGTGGTAAGGCCTCCCCTGGGCCTCCTCCGGACTCAATAATCCCAGTTCATTCTGCCGATCCTCATGGGACTTTTGTTGCAGACCTTTTCCCGCCCCGTTGCCCTTCCATGGACCCACTGCAGGGCCTCCACGTCTTTCTTGTAGTGAGGGGCCTGGAACAGAATACAGCACTTGAGGTGAGGCCTCACCAGTGCCGTCTACAGGGGCACGATCACCTCCCTGCTCCTGCTGGCTGCAGCATTTCTGCTACAAACCAGGATGCCCTTGGCCTTCTTGGGCACCTGGGCACGGTGCTGCAGTGCTGTGGTGCTGCCTGGAGTTATTGTGGCCAAAGAGCAGCAGCCAGCACTTGGTCTCCTTGGGCCTGATCCAGTTGTGCTCAGCCCATCCATGCAGCCATCCCGACCCCCCTGTAGGGCCCTCAAACAGATCAGAGCTTCTTCCCCACAGCCAACAGCCCAGACTCCTCTGGAGCACCACTCGCATCTTTTCCTCATCATTTGTATTTTGTGTTAGCAAATTCTTATCATCAGCATGTGGGTATTGAATAACTAGAAATTTAGGTAGGTCGCTCCAAAAATAATGCCTCCCCTATTTACTTCCTGACAGCTACCCTGTGTCCTGTGCGAGGGTGTCCCTGTGTCCTTCCCGGGGGTGAATGCAGCTGGATTCCAAAGTCCTGACTGTCAAAGCATATCACCAGGATTTCGCAAAGTGGTGGAGGAGCACTGGGGACTGAGCTCCCCTCCTCATAGAGAGGGCAGACACTGGAGTACAGACCATTGCATGCCCTGTGGTGCAAAATTAAGGCTTGCAGTAGGCATCAGCAGGTTAGCAGAGGGGCTTTGAAACAATGTGTGCACATCTGTAGTCCCTCTGCAGCTGTATAGCCACACAGTTTACGATGGGAACTAATATTCTGTCCAGTGGGCTGATAAGCTGAAAAGTATTTTAGAGAGACAGGTGTCATATAAGAATGGAATTTGGTGACAGTAGAGCATAATACTATCTTGGAAACCACACCTGCAGTCAGGTGAGGCTTTGGTGCCAAAAGACAACAGTGCAACGAGGGGACAGCCCTCCCCGGGGCCCTCAGGGTTCCACCAAGTCTGTTAAGTATCACCCTTTGTCTTGCTTCCACCTGTGACACAGCAGGGACCCACCAAGCAAGCCCTGCCACCTTTACGCACAGGGCTGCAGAGATGGCACAGAACATTCTTCTGTTTGAGAGGCACCTTTTACATCTGCTGGGCTGCACCCTCAGAGAAGTCAGGTGGAATGAACAGGTGAACTGGGAAGCAAAACCTTTCCTCCTGACAAAGCCATGCAGGAGGCCATTATGTGCCATGAGCTAAAACCTGGGGGTAGAGGCAAGAAGACATAACTCCCATTGCTGGAGATATTTTAGCCAGAACATTCTGCTTCTTCTTGAGCAGAGGTGCCCCTGCTGTAACTCAGAGATGTTGTACCTGCCGACTGTCAGAGCACAGACCTGCCAACAGCCAGCACTAAAACTTCACAACAGGTCATTAAGTCATTAACATGAGCAATGACAAAAGGGAAGGGACATAGCAGGGTCATGCCGAGGGCCGGCTTCTCCAGGCATTGTTCTAACAGCATGGCACAAGCACAAAGCCTCAGCTCCATTGGAACAACATGCCAAGGCCGACCCCAAGCAGGCAGCCCCACACCTCGCGCAGCACTATACCCCATCGCGCAGAGGGCCGCTCTGCACCGCGAGCCCTTAAATGGCGGCCGCCCGCCGCCGAGCCCCGCCTCCCGCCGCTTCCCATAGGCCGGCGCCCCGATTTCTTTCCACCTCCCCGACCGCCTGGGTTGGGCTGTTTCGGGGCTCCTGTTTGAGTGGCTCTGCTGGGCTTAGCCGGAAAGGCAGCGCTTTGCTGCTCCTGCCGCTCGCAGCTGTCTGTCCGCCCTCTCGTGTGGCGCCGGCCGAGCGGAGCGGCGGTGCCGGGCCTGGCATGGCGGGTGTGGGTCCCTGCGACTGAGCGCCGCCTGCAGGAAGGCCGGGCCGGGAGGGCTGCGTCTTGCGGCGGGTAGGAGCGGGTCGGGCGGCGGAGGGGGGCTGTGGGGACGCGGCCCGGGCCTGGCTGCGGTTCTCTGAGGCGGTGCGGTGATCGGGGGCCCGGCGCGGGGCGTTAGGCTCCGTCTTCCTTTTCCTGGCCGCCTCCCCGCTGTCCCGGCTGGGCTTGGGCCTCGGCGCCGCGCTGTGCTCACGGCCTGTGCCCAGGGCTGCGTCGCTCGAGGCGCTCTGGAGCGCTCCGCTGCCTTCAGCTGCCCTTACAGCGGGTGGTTCTTGTTCGTGTGAGGTGTCCCCGTGCTGCTCCTTTCCTTCCTTTGCCTGGAAGAGGAACGGGAAGCCTACCATATAGTGTTGCTCCCGAGCTTGGCGTTCTGTCCTGTTTGGGTTACTGGTGCTCTTGGTGCTTTTTTAGTGTTGTAGTTCCTCTCTTTCAGAGTTTTGTCCTGAAGCAGAAGCGATAGTGAAAGTTGGAGAGAAGGGAGTTGAGCCCTGTCAGGACAGACGTGCCACCTGTTTGTTCGAGAATGCGATGTGAATGGCGATGGCTTTGATCTAAGGGGAGATCTGAACAACTGTCTTTAAAGGGGAGCAAAGAAAAAAGGTTTCTCTTTTTCCTTGAAAGCTATGTAACCTATTCGAGTAATGCTTTCATTTAAGCAGGGATCTGCTAAGTGCATCTCTCTGCCACTTGCATCCGGAACTGTAGGCAGCAATTCCAGCCCTGATGTGGTCTGTGCTTTCCGATGCTGTTTTCAGAAAGAAGGGAAACAATCAGTTTTATTAAACCTGGAAGTCTGGTAGGTTTGTGTGACCACATCCGTGAGGTTGAGTTTTGAGACTGCAGATAACTGCTAGTAACCTGAGCCTCAGTTTTCATTGGTTACAGTATGTGTCCTGAACCAAAAAGTAGAATCCCCTTACTAAGAGGCAGCTGCCTGGCCAGGAGGTGCAGCTGAGCCTCCAGCACTGTGTCTCTGCCTGGATGGAGAAACGCTGCTCAACCACATCAGGCTCAATTCAACTGTAATATAGCAAACTCCTTTTTTCCTTTTATTTTCCAGTGTTTGGCAGTTCAGGCTGTCTGTCAGAAGGAAAGCTGGGTTGGGGTGTGGGATGCTGATGTGTGGCTGTGGGGTGGCTTCAGCTCTTCTGTGTGGGCTGAGCTGGCGGCTCTGGGCAGGGTGTGGTGAGTGAGGGCTATGCTCAGCTAACTGGGTTAGTTCAGATGAGCTGGGGCATGGGTTGGAAAGTGCAGCAGGGAGCAGTGGTGCTGGGTGTGATGAAGGCTGTTTCCCGGGCATCAGTTCCCAGTGCCATTGCTGTGGGTTTGTTGCTGGTGGCCTCAACCAGAATAGGGCAATTCTCAACATCTTCTCTGTGGTCGTTGGCTATAAGAAAAGCATGACGTGTGCTGTGAGACTGATGGCTCTGGCTGCCCTTCATGCCCTTGTATGTTGGGCGTTGTGCTGCTCTGCCTTTGTAGGATAGTAACACCAGGCCATAGTGAGCAGCCTGGCATGGAGGTAATCTCAATTCTGCTTTGCCCTTTGAAACCTTGTGACTGAGGCTGGCTGTTGCATGTGGCCAACTCCTCTCCTTATCAGCAGCTCACTGCTGTTGTGTGATAGCGATGGATTCTAGGGAAAAAGGTTGGAGTCTCCTTGTTCTTTTTCTGAGGACATGTTTATTTTTCCAGGTAGGTCTGCAGCTTTATAATCAAACCCTTTTCACTGGGATTTCCCAAGTCAAATTCTTGGTCCCAGTAGCAGTTAGAGGTGTCATGGTTCATAGCTGATGTAATTCTACCCATGCTCTGTGAGTTTTCTCTATCCTTTCCCAGCATTTTTAAATTTCGGAAGGAATAAATTCTTCTGCATTGGTAAATATGAATGTATTTGTCTTTGCTGCTACTGAGATGTAGAGGTCAGTGAAAGTGTTTCAGAAGAGAAGAATGAAGCAAAGTTATTTACAGGAAATCCTCAATGGTGTCAGAGGAGTGAGTTACTGGAGGGAAGAGAAGACACTTCTGGGGAGTTGTGCAGTGTGGAGGTGGTTTGCTGGAACCCCTGCTAGAACTAAGATCATTTGGCACAGATATTGCCATCTCAGCACAAAGTTGATCTTTCCAGGTCTGTGTGTTTATTTAATGACATCTCTCGTGCAGCACAGCATATGGCAGTTGCACAGGAGAATCTCATCCCAGTGAGTATCTGTCAATGTGGGTGAATCAAAGGGAGGGTTTGTTAGCTAGGAGTGGCACGGGTACCCCTTGTCCTCAGAAGACTTAAGACAAATCTCAGCCTCTGAAGAAAACTCTGTGCCCTGGAGACCTGGGCAGTTTGTGGGGAAGGTGCTACTGAGCTCTGAAAGCTCCGGAGGTGGCGCAGGGCTGTGCTGCTTGTTCTTTCTGACCTGTGAGTCATCTCAGCCCTACCAGGGAAATGACCTGCTGACTCCTGGCATTGAGGCTGTTGGCTTTGCTATGCCAGCCAGGGTTAAATTCAGACAGGGGGGAGATGTCTTCTTTTAAGATGAATTCTGGATTGACCGCGGCACGCAGTGCTGTCTCTGGCTTTGTGCATGTTTGGGATGGCAGTTGGTAGAGATGTTTCAATCTGTGTCATCTGCAGCCACGTCACTGGAGGGTGCAGGGGGATGTGATGGGACCTTCAGCACACTGCTGGTCAAGTGTATTTAGCAGTGAGAGTTGCTACTTTAGGGTAAGAAGGGGGAGGATCTGCACAAGCTAACACTGAATCAGGAGAAAGTTTACTAGTCAACCTCTAATCCTGCTCTACAGTGAACCAGCATTCATCCAAGCTTCTAAGGTGACCATGGAATCAACAGAGAAACTGCAGCTATTACTTATACTGCTACAACATTTACAAAGCCACTGGGCACAAAACATGTGGTGCTTTCTGGAGAACAGAGTTTCTGTTCATCTTCTGTAAGGACAGCTAATAGTACAGCAGTGTAGGGCCTGGGGGTGGGCAGATGGCAGAAAAGATAAGAAAGTTCTCTGTGGCAGGCAATTCAGAAACACCTAATGAGGAGAATGGGAAGCTCTCTCTTGTCCTTTTTCAGGTGCCTGGAGAGGGCTAAGACAGGGCAGGCAAACAAGCTAAGCCCCACAATTCATTTTGAGTTCAGAGCTCTTTGGTGCCCGGGAGTTCAACCCGAAGAAAAACACATCAGGTAGGGACAGCTGCTGAGCCTGGGTTTGTGAACTCCTGGGTTTGTGTGCATCCAGGTGCTGATCGGTGTCTGAGAAGTGCGATGTGACCTGGATGGGGGGGTGTGAAGAAGGTGGAGAACCTGATGCTAGTAGGGTTATAGGAAGGTGCCAACTTTACACATCTTTACTGTTCTGATTTTAAAATCAGAATAGTTCTGGTGTCTTGCGGAGAGAAAAATGCTGATTTTTTTTTTTTGGCTTTTTGGATGTTGATTTCTGAATATAGTACATACAGTCCCTGTAGATAAAAGTATGTGGGGCTCTGACTGTAGGTTTGGTAACAGCAATAGGTTTTAGTTATGAACCTTCAACTTGACTTTTGTAGGAATTAATTTGTTGACTTCTTGGGCTTGGGATCTAGAATAATTGATGCTCTGATGCAGCAGGGTTTTTGTCTGATGATGCCATGTATTGCTGCTGAGCTTTGATTTATTCTATCAATCTGCTGAGGCTCAAGTAATCACTGTTTGAAGGTGCATTTTACTCTGATACAAGATGCTGATTTTACACTGTCTGCCCTAATGGCTGTGTGCAGAGTGAAGGCAGGTGTTATTCTGTTGTGTCATGCAGTCTTTCTGATTATAATAATTTGCAGTAACAAGCAGGAAGCAGTTGTGTGGGGGCCTAATGGAAGGGATACACTTTTTTAGCTCTGACTCACAACTGCTTTAATGTTCTCTTTTCTCTGCTGCTGTTGTCCCGTGCCACGTTTGACCTGAACTTGCAAGGAGGCAGGATATTCCAGTCCATGATGTCCATGATGAGATTCTCCTTGTCTGACAACATCACACGTTCTACTGCCCTGGTGACAGCACTGGATAATGTGACAACTTTGTCTCCAACGACAGCGCAGGCAATCAATGGCACGAACATCACGGTGCCACACAAATGCCTGCTGTTGCTTTATGAGGACATTGGGAGGTCCAGGTGAGAGACAAAATGGGGTCACAGTCTGACTGTGGGATTCTTGCTTTCTCAGTGTTTGGGTGAGCAGGGCAGGGCTGGTCCCTGACCTTCTTGGTGCTGCAGAGCAGGACAAAACTTTTCTATTTACTTTTTGCAGAGTCCGCTACTGGGATCTTTTGCTCCTGGTTCCCAATGTGCTTTTCTTTATGTTTCTTCTCTGGAAGCTGCCCTCTGCCAGGGCCAAAATCCGGGTCACTTCCAGCCCTATCTTCACTACATTCTACATACTAGTGAGTACTGCTGTGTGCTTTTGAACTGATTGATGGAGTGTTTTTTATTACCACTCTTGACAATTATCACTGAACCAGTGGAGAGAGAGAGCCTAGACCAAATCTAACATTTGAAGGTGTACTAGCAGGAATAGACTTCTTGCTGTTTGAACTCTACCTTTCAGCTTCTGGTAATGTCCATATTTAGATATGGTGGATTTTTTCTATGGTGATTTTGTTTTTTTCCCCTGCACGCTTTCTTCTGTTTGTCACTGTCTTGGAACCCAGCATCTTCTTTTTCCTTGTTTCTTGCATCATGTCACATGACACAAAACCAGTATCTCACTGTGTTCATGTATGTGAACCACTGAAGAATAATGAACAGCTCCATACATAACTGCTACAAAATCAAAAAATACTACTGGCAGTTTCCTATGTGGATTTAAGTCATCTTTTACATCTGCAGTTATACAGGGAAGGTCAATAAAAAGCTCGTTCTGAAGTCTTTGAGAAACAAAACTCCTCAGAAACCGCAGGGAAGAAAAAGTGAGCTGACTGCTGTTGGCTCTTTCAAAACAGTGTGAGGAGTAGAAAGTGATGAATCAGTCTTAGAGAAAAGTGCTTTTCAGTCAGTTTGATCTTCTGGATCGTTTTTGGAAATGAGGATAAGTGTGTTCAGTGAGGATTTCCTCTCAGGCAGTTGTTTGTCACATTCTGAAGGAATGCTTTCTTGTGGAGTCAGCGGTTAAAGCTAAGCTGATAGCTTTGTAAGATTCTCTCTCTGTTTAGAGGAAAACACCCTTTTTGCTTCCTGAGTTGTTCCTGCTCCAGAACCCTTCTGTAGGACCCTTCTTTTTTTGTCAGTGTTTTGTCCAAGTTTTCCACCCAAGAAGGGAATGTCACATTGTTATTCCTTGAGCTGTTTGCATCTCCCTTTTCTCTGAGGAGGAAGCGTTCTGCAGCAGATGGCTTATTGGTTGATTTCATCCATCTGGAAATCAGATTGTACTTTTCATTCTGTGTTAGATATGACTGTTGCATACCTTCATCATTAGCGTATCTAAGCCTGTAGCTTGGAGAATTGTATCTGGGAAAATCTGTGTTCTCAGAGAGGTCTGCCCAGCAGAGGGTAGATGTGTCCAGCTGAGCTCTTATTTGCATAGTGTGGCTGTGGCAGCACAGTGACTGATGGATTAGCCTTGCTGAGTTCTGGGCTGCCATGCTTAAATGGTATGAGCTGGTATCTTAATGCTGCACTGTGCAGTAAGCTAAGTTGCTTTAAAGCAGTTATCTGCATTGCCTTATCTTTTGCGTTCCTGAGCATTGTCAGTGTTGAGTGTGGAGAAAAACCAACTGTGTGGATTTCAGCTTTATCACAGATCTGAAATGTGGTAGCTGGTATAAAGTGGCTTCTGTTATCTGATGGGATTGGGTTATTCAGTCATACCAAGCACTTGATCTTCTAATTTGGAGAGATGTATTTTTCATCTGATTGCCCCCAGTGAACTGAAAGGTGGGGAGAATGACTGTAAGAGCATTGTTGTAAGGGAGTGTTTAATCTGATAGCTGAAGAAATGTGCACCTCCATGAACTCTAAGCCAGTGTTTCTGTACCTGACAAGCCTTTGGAAAGTTAACTCAAATATGTTATTACATTATGTCCTCAGTGCACATTATCAGGCTTCAAAGCTGGCCTGGAAATAGAATTCCAAGAAGGTATCCTGTATATGGTAATGTGCCTTTTGACTTGAGCTCTTTTTTGCTGCTTTTTTCCTGTAGGTGTTTGTGGTGGCTTTAGTTGGTATTGCCCGTGCTGTTGTCTCCATGACTGTGAGTGCCTCTGATGCTGCCACGGTTGCTGATAAGGTAGGTACTGTGCTCCTTCTGGAGGCTCTGCTTTGTGCAGTTCTGGCCACGGTGTTTTGCTACTGCTTCCCATTTATTTGCTTGCAAGAAGAATGTGTTCTTATTTGCAGTGCTCATAGCTGTGTTTACTATGAAATCCTGTTCCTCTAGCTGTATCTAAGCAGTCACCACCTCTAAGACTGTAAAACAATGGACTTCCTAGTTTAGACACACAAATGGTGGTAAAGCTTTCCTGTTGCAGAGATAGAAAGCTCTGCCTTGCGAGAGCTAAGCAAACATTCAGATACCTTTAGTGGATAGGCAAAGTGAGGCTTTTGATGCTCTTGCTCTGTTTGAAGGGCTCTTGGAAAAATACTGAACTTTCTTGTATTGAAAGCAAATAAAACAACTTTTCCTTTTTGAACTGATAGCTGAATGTCCTTGCAGTTCCTCTGAGCACAGGGTGAACCCTTAACAAACAGGAAATAGCCGTGTGTGTGCTCTTCCTTTGTAATGATTGCAATGGAGTGTTACCTAAAACAAAAAGCTCTGCTGATCTTGAGGTGCTGGAGGGAGAAGAACCACCTGCAGAGTATGAATCTTCTGCCTTTGTTGTTGAGGATCTGTGTGGTGGTTTTGCTTTTCCCTTTAATGTTACCTGCCAGAGCATTTTAAGGCTCTGCTTGTTGTGTGGCCGGATGTTTGTGGCATTTTCACTCACCTCTGTTGAACAGACAAAAGTCCAGGACTTGAATAACGAAGAAGAGATGAGAGGTGGCTTTTCTGAGCTCTGCTGGTACTGCTGCAAAGTACACTTGCTCAGAAGTGTAGAAAGACAGACACTATGTTAATTTTTTCCTGCAGAAGCATTTCCTGTTATTTTTTTTCTTTTTCTCATGTACATGCTCCTGTTGTGTATTCCTATTTTATCACTTGCCTCTTATCTGTGTGTGTTGTCAAAACAGTGCCATTGGAAGCTTGGAGGAAAAGGATCAATAAGCCAGGATCTGGGTTCTTGTACCCAGATTTGACATTGCTTTATTGCATGACTTTCTGGAAAGTCACTTGACCTGCTGTTTATCTGGTCTTGTTTCACCAAATAAAGTTTGGGAATGAAAATGACAAACTGGAAGCTATTAAATGCAGGTTTGACTATACTTTGAATTTGGGGACCTGCTGTCTTTGAAGGAGGACATAAGTCTTATTCAGTCTTTACTTTAGAACTTACTACTATAGGAATTGGCACTGTTTGATGTTACAGCTTGAAGATCATTTTGTTGCTGCTTCTTGGTGGTACAGCAAAAAATGCACATCTGTGGTAGGAGACAGATTTGTAGGTATGGCAGACTGTGGCCACATTGTGTCCCAAACAGCAGGCATGCTGTTTGCTCTCACAATTGTTCTGTCCAGGCAAGAGCTTGAGGCAAGTGTAAAATGAACATCCTACAAAGCATGAGGAAGATTTGTGGAAATAGCCTGCTCCAGTGAGAGGCAGCCATCCTCAGGGATAGAGAACAGAATTTTCTGTATTAACTTACAACTGGTTCCTGGCTCTTCCTAATCATGTTTGTCTGGTTTCTTTATACCTCAGATCCTGTGGGAGATCACAAGGTTCTTCCTTCTGGCGATTGAGCTGAGCGTGGTGATTCTAGGCCTTGCCTTTGGTAAGTGTCAGGAGGTTTACTGAGTGCTGTGAATGTTTCCTATTCCCTTCCTTTCCTCAGAGACCACATCTGTAAGTGTGTACATTAAGGAGCACTAGAATAAAGACAGAAGACAAACTGGACAGCTTATTGGTAACGGTTGAAAGCCTGGTTACATTTGCAGTTCTGCAGTTTGTGCAGTTTCAGGGTTTATTTGTGCTTTATTTGTTTTGCACGTGGTGAAGGAGCGTGCAACATGTGAAAAGGCCTTTATACAGAGATCAGCTGCCTGATCTTTGCATGAAACACATCTTATTTAAGATAGTCATGTTTGAGGATACTTCTATCACCTCACCATTGTTTAGTTTTATTCTCTCCTGGCTTCATTTGATTCATTTAGCTGTACCTTTGTCACTCTGCATTCAGTTGTATGAGTGAAAATACTATTGGAGCACACCTTGCTGACGGGGAGAGGGAATGTAGTAGGTGTCTCTGCCGTGTCTGCAATTGAGATATGAACACTGGTTCTTCCCACTTTTGTGGGATCATAAAGTAATTTAGGTTGAAAGGAGCTTTTGGAGATTGGTTGCTCCATCATGTCCCAGTGTAAATATTTCTAGATTGTTAGGCTTTCCCTCCTCGTCACTGTTTTTCCTGAAAAGAAACAGCAGTCTGTCTGTGTAGCTGGTAATGGAGTTGTTCCTGCTTTTTTTTGGGGGGGGGGCCTCATAGCCCCAGTGAAAGAACTTGTTTATTTTCTGTATATTAGTGTGGGCAGGAGGAAAGCAAGTTAAAACCTATTGTTTTACAGGTTTTGTTTTGTGTTTCAAAGGATCAGCTCTCCAAGTGGAAGCAGTTAACAAAGGTTAAGTGAGCTTCAACCTTCCTTTGAGGGCCTCTGGAAATGCAGATGTTTTATTATATTTGTTTTGGTTTTTAGCACATCCTGATTCAACCTGTGTTCCTTAATTCCAGGTCATCTGGAGAGCAAGTCGAGTGTGAAGCGTGTTCTGGCAATCACTACAGTGCTGTCTCTAGCATATTCTGTCACCCAGGTGAGTACGTTAGTACAGAAGAGGTTAATTGGCTTGAAGTCAGCTGTGGGGCTCCTGCCTGGAATGTGGGGAAAAGTAGCAGCTTTGCTCTTTGGACTAGGTTGTGGGGAAAGACTGGATTCTTGTGGTAGTGTATGGGGATCCCAAAATATACACTAGACCATATCACACTGTCCTTTTCATGGTGTGAATGGCTCAGCCAGTGTCAAGAAATAGGGAGGAAATTTAGATGGATAGTTTTGTCCAACAAATCTTGGAACAAGAGCTAGAGTTTCTTACATGTGTGCCACAAATGCAAACTAGATGGAGGCAGCCCAAGTGTGCTCATTGGGCTGTGCACTGTGCTGCTTGTCTCCTCTTGAGCTGAGAGCTCTTGCTTCCCTTCAAACTAGCAGCTGGCTTGCTAGCTCCATTGATTAGCTCAGTCCATCTCTCTGGACAATGCAGTGTGTGTCTGGTGTTGTTCTTCTCCTTAATACGTAAGTGGCCAGCCTTGTGCCTCTATTTGAGGCAGTACCAGAATAACAGACAGTTGTTTGATCAGGCCCTTGTGTGCAGTGGCAGTGAGCTGTTCGTTACCACATGACACTTAATTGGGCACCTACAGCTCCAACACTTGATATACTGGATCTGGGTTTAGTGATGCTTAGAAGTGTTTTTCTTATTCCACTGTCTGTATGGAAGCTTCTGTTCTTAACCATTTTTGAGAGATTTAAATGAAGGAGACAGTCTCCTTTCCCAGCTGTTACACAAATGCAGGCATTTATATTCTGGATACAGCAGGGAAGGTGTGCTTTGAAGATTGGAATGAAACTGTTTGAAACAGAGGGCTGTGTCCACTCTCCTCCTTTCACTCTGTCTCTTTTTCTGGAATATCACTGATACTGTTTTTGTTTAGATACTCATTCTTGCCATTTTGTTCCCCTCGTGTTTTGTTTTGTTTCTTCCTCTTCTCCTGGGTGAACATAACTTGGCCTAAGCAGGGCAAAATTTGTGCTTCAGGTGGCAGAGACAACTTTTATTTGAACTTTGAACGTAGTCTCTTTTATACAGACAGCCACTGTAATGAGGATGCTGACTATAACAGTACTGTGATGGTGCCTTTTCTTTCCTAGGGGACCTTGGAAATCCTCTACCCTGATGCTCACCTTTCAGCTGAAGACTTCAACATCTATGGCCACGGAGGGAGACACTTCTGGCTTGCCAGCTCTTGTTTCTTCTTTCTGGTGAGTATGAGGCATGTATTAAGCACTTTGACAGCCTCTTTGTATTTTCTGAGTGGGACAAGGAGGATGATTTGAGTATAATAAGGCCCTGGGTCCTTCCTGCCTGATGTGCAGTGCAGTATTGATGCTTTTCATGAGGCAGTGAAGCTGAACCAATAAAGGTGTGAACTACAGCAGCTGAATTCAGGTGTTTCTCACTCCCTGTTTCTCAGTGACTAGCTGTGCTGATGAGGTGAGGTGTGGAGCTCTCACATGTGCACTGGGTTTAATAATGGAGGCCTGTGCCACTAACATGAGGCACCTAGGAGGTTCATGACACAGTATTCTGCCCCTACCAAGCTTTCTAAGCCACAGAACAATTTTCTTTTTTCTTTTGCCCCAACAGGTCTATTCCTTTGTGGTGATTCTTCCAAAAACTCCTCTTAAAGACCGGATTTCTCTGCCCTGTAAGTGACTGTAGTGTTTCCATCATGTAAGTGGGGCAGCACCAGGATAAAAAATAAGTGAGGGGAGTAAGAGGTTCCTGTATGTGGCTGTGCTATGGATGCATCCTTCTGTCTCAGCTGTGGAATTCTTTCTCTACCATGTCTCTGCATGTGTTGCCAGGGCCAAGTGCTTTCAGAACTCGTTTTCTGTGCTTGCATGCATACACATGCAGGAGGAGATGTTTAACACTTTATACCTGTCAGTCCTGGCAGCATGGGACAGAAAAATTTGGTCTTAACTGCTGAGAGTTTATAAACAACCAGGATGCTGAGATGCTTGCATTGGGTTTGCTGTCTCTATTGAACAGAACCTACTGTTTGCACTGTGCTGGTGCTTATGAGGTTGAGCTTCATCTTCATGTCTGTGTCTTTCTCACAGCCAGGAAGAGTTTTTATGTTTACGCTGGGATCCTGGCAGTGCTGAATCTGGTGCAGGGTTTGGGCAGCGCCCTTCTCTGTGTGGATATCATAGAAGGACTGTGGTATGTATGTTGGGGAAGGAGTCTACAGCCTGCTTTCTAATGTTGCAATTGTGTCCTTCAACAGTGCCTCAAGAAAACAAACTTCTGCAGTGTTCCTAAGGAGGAATAAAGCTATTGTTTGTTTCATGGAAAAAACTCACATCTGTGGGGGTCTTTGGAGCTGCATGTTCCACAGTGGTCTTGAGGTGGGGAACAGGAGTGGCAGTGTGAGTCCACTGAAGCCTGATCATTGGCTTGTTTCTTAGAGAATATGTGAGCAAATGGTCTGTTTGCTAGAAATACAAGATACCTTTAGTCATATCTGGAGTCTCATTCTGCAGTTCAAATCAGTTGTTTTCCATGAGTCAAAACAGGGAGAACTGAGATTTTGCTTTGAGTCAGATCCTGGGATGTGACATGGTTCCCTTCCAAGGTGTCTAGGATCAATGACATGTTCACAGCAATGTCTGTTAGTTTGCATCAGTCCAGATTTGTTTAGCACAAGGTTTGTGCTCTGCTTGCCTGCTCTTGAGGGAAATAGAATCATTTCTTCTGGGTGGATGTGGCTGGGGTTATCCAGCTGTATTGTTTGAGTCCTAAATACCTTCATCTTCCCTTTTGCTTTTGACAGCTGTGTTGATGCTACTACATTCCTTTACTTCAGCTTCTTTGCACCTCTCATCTATGTGGCATTCCTGAAAGGCTTCTTTGGGTGAGTAGCAAGAACAGGGGTTTAGAGACTGACCATTGTTATTTGATCTGTGCCAGATTGTTTTCCAGCTGTAGAATAAAGGCAATGACTGCAATGACTGGAATGCCAGTGAGGGAGCCAATGTTTCATTCCTGGCTTACTGATTTTCTTTGTGGTCCTGCACTGGCCACTTGTATCCAGGGCTCCCCTGTGTACAAGGCAGAACCAATAGTTGCATTTCCCTAAGCACCTCTCTCTGTCACTTCAGTGTCTACATCCTATTTGTGCAAAGTTCTGCTGCTGAAGTCAGCCACTAAATCAGTTAGTGAGGGACTGAGTCCTGGCAGATTAAGCTGGCTCAAAGTGAGTTTTTAGGAGGTTTACTGGTTTAACAGCCCTTGGCTCGGGTTTCCTATACAAGGGCCCAGTCCCCAGCTGAAAGCTCTGTCCAGTGTTGATTACTGGGTTGGGTGTGCCGCCGTGTGGCCACTCAGGAGAGATGCATGTTGGTAGGAATTCCTTTTTGTAAGCTGTACGTTTTATTGTCCTTGAGCGAGAGACCTCAATCAGGCTTTAGAATAACTGGGAATAAGAAAGTACTCCTAAAATATCAAAATGCTTCTGATGTCTTTGAAATCAGAACAGCATCTGGAGATAGAGATAGAAAGTGCTGATTTGCAAGTGTTTGTATTTTGATTTTCCTGTTGCACACAGGTGGAATGAGAAATAGAATATTTTTGTTGTTTGCTGTGAAGTCCAGTGATGCCTGGATGCTGCTCTCAGTAATTCAGAACTCAGAAAGAGGAGAACATGCTTGTGACACCGATGTCAGGACTGCTGTTTTTATTTCCCCTAGGCAGCCTGGTCCAAAGCTACAGTTAGCATTGTTCCATGGCAGTTATTCCACTATGACTATATCCAGACTGAAAGCAACATGAAAAGTTCTTTAATACTTAAATACACGCTGTTTCAGTGCTACTGAGTTTCAGTTAAGGGTAAGTGGCTGTTATGAGATATTTTGCTTAAACATGTACTTTAAATCTTTAATGACTCTAGGTCTGAGCCGAAGATCCTTTTCTCCTACAAGTGTCAGGTGGATGAACCTGAAGATGTGGATGTGCACCTACCCCATGCTTATGCTGTTGCCAAGAAGGAAGGAATGGATTCTGGGTTCTACTCAAGCACTCAGATTGATACCACAGCCTACCTGGATGACGTGGCCTCTATGCCGTATCACGTGGGCAGCATCAACAGCATAGACAGCGATCGTTGGAAAGCTATCAATGCCTAAGGCAGGGCTCCCCCCTGCACCTTATGAACTCCCTGATGCTGAGGATGTTAGGATATCCACTGGAAATCTGTTCATCGCTATCTGCTGTGGTTTTCCTCTTTTCCTTAGGATTTCTGAAACCTATCGTGGAACTAAGTTGGCAGCCTTTTTGCAGAGAATATTTCCCGTCACTGCCTGAGAGCAATCCAGAACAGTCCTGTTCATAAACCTATAAACATTGAACCTTCCTGATTCTTTGCGTTCCAGATGTGAATATGGCCCAGAAGGACAGGCCTGACTGGCGCCTCCTGCTTTTCAATGACTGACAGCACTTGTCTGCCAACTAAGGGAAATATCGTTTAGAAGCTGTTTATTTGACTGTGTATTCTACTCACATGGAGAGAGTTTGGTGGTTTAAACCAAAGTTTGTGTTCCTGGGCTTTCTCAGGCAGCACAGTTGTCTGGATCTTATCACAACCATGGATGGGTGGCAATAGATGTGTCTCAATGGCGAAGCTGCTCAGTTGGACTCATCTCTGGTTTCAGCTAATGCTAATGAAAACTGTGAATTGCAATTGTTAGGAGTTAAAAGGATTGTGATCTGAGTGTGCAGGAAGGAGAAAAGAGGTGTGAAGAGAAATGAGCTTCCCAGTGTGTCCTAGGGCTGCTCTGGGAAGCACAGCTGGTATCTTGCAGCACCTGTGTGAGCTGACACAATAATAGGGAGGCAGGACAGGCAGCTGCTGCCCAGCAGAGCTGAAGTAGTTATGAAACAATCTGTGGAGGCTGCACTGCTGTTCATCTGAGCTCACAGGAACATCTCAATAACAGCACTGAAGCGGGGTGAAGTTTCAAGAACACAGCATGTACAGTAGGTATGTGTTATGTCTTCACCATGCTTCATGGCAGGGTCGTGGAGAGGGCTGTGAAGGAAGAGGCTGTCTGTGCTGATGAAGGCTTCAGAGATGTTCAGATGCCTGAGGCAGGATAGAAGCTGATGAATCTGAGCTGTCAGTGTCTAGTGTCTGGGAGTTCTTAAACACCACAGGCATCTTAAGATCAAATTGGCTGGTGTTCTAGGTTGGGTAGGAGGTGGATGCTCTGGTAGAACTGCTGTGGCAGTGTCCTCTTGTTACAGTTCAGTTCCCCAGACTTCTAATGACCTTAATAGGCTTTTCATCTTGATACATTGAAAATACTTACAGGCATGTGAAGTGTGGTTCATTTAAAAGCTGTCTGGAACTTCTTCGTCTCTTCCACACTGGATTAGGGACTGTTGTCAGAGCTGTTTGACGTGTGGTTCTAAGACAGTTTGTTCCAATTCAGGGACTGTTGAGCTGATAGCTGCAGTAAACTGGTTTCTGAGACAGACTGTGCTGTCCAAGGACGAAGAGGTTTATTCTTCTAGCTTTGGGGAAGTCAGCTTTGGGGGAACCTACCTGAGTCATCTGGGTAGGTGGAGATCTGCTGTAGGCGATAGTATCTTCCCATTAGAAAGAGTAGAAAGAGGGGAAACTTGAAACATTTTGGCACTGTGCATCTCTTGCCCCACCTCACTGCTGTTCCTGAAAAAGAATACTGGGGTAAGAGTTCCTGGGGAAATCATCACGCAGGGTGCAGCATGGAGGTATCAGTTTAGAATCATGAGTGTATGCAGCGAATGCATTTTCCATGTAGGGAAAGAAATAGTTTAGATAAGAACACAAGGTTCCTGTCAGTTGACAAAACTATGCAGGCCCTTCACTTATCTTTTATTTCGTTAATGAGCAATGCAGCTTCTCTGTTCTGCAGCTTGGGGAACTTTGCCCTGCAGGCTTCTGGGTAGCATTGACACCATTAATAATAAAATTTTTAAAATTCCACAAAACTTTCTATTTTATCAAGTGAAGAAAAAACTTCCACGTGTGAGAGCTGGAGTGTCTAGCCTGCCACATTTCTCCTGCTGTAATGACTATGGAAGGGGTGGACAAGCAACTGGCCTGGCCAAGTTGGTCCTTGCCACATCAGAGAAGTGTTCTGTGCTCCTCCTTTTTCTTGCTGTGACTTTGCATCAGCCACATTTTACTTGTAAAAGGGATGGATGATGTGGTGCCTGAATTGCCCTGTTGCTGCTCTTACTGTGGCTCCGACCCTGAGCTGCTGTTAGCAAGCATGGGAAAACCTGCAGAGCTTCCCTGGAGTCTGTTGGCCTTGGACAGGTCTGAAAGATTGGAATGTCTAAGCAGATCTGCTGTGCAGGTGGTCAGTGTGTCCATACTGTCCTTTGCCAGCAGGACTCCAGTATTTCTGGAGCTTCCCATGTTGCTGGGGAGCTTCTGTGCTAGGTCACGGACTGACCTTCCTTCTGGTGTATTTCTATGTATATAAGGCTTTGGGCTGTATTCACAACAGGCCTTGAGCAGAAGTGTGTTGTGTGTGGGGGGTGTGTAAAGAGTCTAAATAGAGAATAAATGTATATTTTTGTTTGTAAAATAAAGAAATACAATGATGTTTGGCATAAATGGTTATACTTTCTTAAATGATCTGTGTTGTGGAGTATTAAAAAAACAAGCTTAGCAGATATTAATGGAGTTACATGGTGCCTTTTTCCAAGAGACAGAATTTTCCCTTTCTGGAAGCCTAGGAGAGCAGATCAGTGTAAGAGTGATGTTCAGGTATAAGCAGTTGAGTTTGTTCTCTGTAACTGGATCCTGCTGTTCCCAGGTGTCTCCAGCACTGGGGGCTCTGCTGTAGGCAGGGTTTCTTCCTTAGGAAAAAGCCTGTGTGGCGAGACTTCTCGTTCTGGGCTTTGGGATGAATGGTGATGGGCTTTTTCAGTGCCAACAGCTGACGCTGCTCTGTCACGCTGCACTCTTGAGAATTCCAGCAATGGGGAAAGTCCCCAAAGAACTACACAAATATTCGCCGCTTGCAGGACGAAGCAGTAGGACGGGGCTGTCTGCCGGCCGGAGCAGGGAGCTCTGGATGTGCCGTGTCCGCGCAGGACGCGCTCGGACGTCCCCGCCGCCGGGCTGCCGCCTCCGGACCACAGCTCCCGTGGTGCCCCGCGGCCCGCCGCCAGTACGGCGCCACGCGATTGGCAGCCCCGGAGCCGCCCGCCAATGGGAGCCCGCGATGTTGGCGGGCGCCGGCAAAGGGGAGGCGCTGCTCGGCGCGGGAGGAGAGGCGTCCCCAGCGGCCGCCCCGCCGGCATGGGGGGCAGCGAGAGTAGCCACGGCGGCAGGAAGGTGTCCTTCGGGCTGGACGAGCGGGAGCAAGTCCGGGTGCTGCAGGGCATCAGGGTGAGGCGCTGCGGGGCGGCGGGCCCGGGCGCGGCTTTGCTCGGGGGGACGCAGCAGCCCCGGGCCGGCCTGCACCCATCTCAGTGCACCGTGTGTGTGGTGCGACTCCGCGCCGAGCTCCGTGTGCCCACGGCAGCTGTATTTCTGTGTGCCTTTGGACGCCGTTCCTGGGTGATGGGCGCTGTGTGTGTGCGCAGCCTGCCCTGCCCGCGGGCTGAATGTGAAGGCTGCGTTCTGTTTGGTTCGCCTCCAATGGGCGCTGCTCATTCGCACTGTATTTCTATGGAACAGAATTATTTTGAGATACCTACTGCCTTTCAGGTTGAAATTGGGCAGGTGTGGCTCTTAGTTTGTCTGTAGGCTGGAATTTTTATCGCCAGTTTTCTGCTATGGCCGTCTGCTCGGTGGATGAAGAAAGATGCTGGCTGCAATCTTTTGGGACTCCTGTATGGCCTCTAATGCCATCCCTCACGAGGAGAACAGCAGAGCACCTTCACTGTAAACGTGATCAGGCTTCCTAGCAAGGTGATTGGTGCCTCACATCTGTCAGTGTTCAAGAGGCACTGGGATAATGCCCTCAGAAATGTGCTTTAACTTTTGGTTAGTCTCTGAGTTCACACAGTTGGATCAGATGTCTCTGATGGTCCCTTCCACCTGAGCTTTTCTGGTTTTGGAGCAGCTTAAAGGCTAACAAATTAAATGCCTTTATCCTGACGTATATGTACATTAAGTGCTTAGATAACTAACTTGAGTAATTGCTTTCTCATGTGTGTGTTTTAGCTCACTGAAGATGTAGTGAATCGGATGAAAGAATCTCAAAGTAAAAGGGACAGCCAGAGGTCACCCCACTTACCCAGTGGTACAGCTCAATTTTCAACAGCCGCAGAAGGGAAACCCAAATCTCCTACAGGTACTGCCGGTCCCTGTCGGGTCTACTGATTTGACACCTGTAGGGGAACTGTTAGGTCAGGGTTTGAACTGATGGTGAACACCTGGTGAAGGGGTGCGGCTGGCCCAGGGAGCACAGGCAAATTGTTTGCATCTGTGGTTCCCATGAGACTAGGAGGGGTGGACCAGTGTGGGGTCCCCCCTGGGCTCATATAAGCACCAGCCACTGAATGAAGAGCATCTCTTGGACCTAGGCTGCTTCCTGTGAAGGACTGCCACATAGTTATAGAGCCCCTTCACCACCTGGGTGAGTTCCAGTCTTTTTTGTGTGTATGACTGTTGGCCTACCTGCAAATACTTTTCCTGGTGTTCCCAATAATGTTTCAGAAGCAATTTTGCTGCTTCCTGAGCAGAACAGCATGCTGTTTAGCACTTGTTCTTGTTATATAGCATGAATATATCCTGAGAAGAGCCACTGAAATGCTGTGGTTCTAGTTCTGTTGCTGTGGGACCTTAAGCAAGGCAACTTGTTTTTGTAGATCTTTTTGTTTTGTCTTTAGGATGCCATCGTTCTCAGATGCATTAAGAAACTTGTATGACTTTGTGAGTGTAGAATTTCAGATAAACACACAGTAAGCAAGGCAGTAATTTTTTTTTTACGTTATCTTGTGTTTCTTGAAACTTGTTTTACTGTCCCTTTTCCATGCACAGGGAGTATATAATGGATGGGTGGGGAGGTGCTGCTTTTTGTTCTTTGGAAATGTTTGTTCTTGGAGGAGAAGCATAGACTAAACACAGGTTACACGGTACGTCGAGCGAATGGCGAGAGCATGATTTCTGAATTTGACTTTCCTTACACTTCAGAAAATGATTTGATTTCTGTTGGCTCACAAATATAGAAACAACTAGAAAATGGACTAAAAGTATGCTTATGTTTCAGTATAAAACAGTGTCTGTGAGTAACATCCTTCCCTAGACAGGTGTGTAGTATACTTGGTTCAGTGTACCTTGCTGAAGACAGTGCTGTCAGTGTTTCTTTCTTCCACAAAGTCTAATTCCATCAGATTTGAATTTTCTTGAGAATTCTCTAGATTATTATTTATTGTCTTGATGGGATGGCATGTATTAAGTATTCTTAATCAGATGATTCAGGCTGTGTTTTGTATTACAGTTGTCAGTTTTGTTCTTTCCTTCTTTCTAGGAATCCAGCCACCAACAGCAAGTAACTCTGGTCAGAAGGCTACAGTTGCAGAGCAGGAATTATATAGGAGGTGAGGTGAAGTTTGAGGAAAAGAGTAATTTAGCTCCTTTTATGCTGTGAGACAGGCTCACTCCTTTTATTGTGGTGCGTCCTTTCATCTTGTCCAAAGCAGTATCTATTTATCTAGCTAACTACTTTCTATTATCGCAATTTTTTGGTGATAATTAAGTACTCAACAGAGCTAAATATAACTGAAATACAAGCCTATATGGAGCTCAGTTTGCTGTTTTTGCCTGGGCTGTTTGTCAGTGAAAGCTGCAGGTCATGCCTGAAGTTGGACTTTTGAATTTCTGCTGATAACGGAGGGACTGTGAGCAGCTTTGTGCCAAATCGATTATGCATTTGGGGTTTTGCCCTTGTCAAGGATTGTCCATGCTAAGCCATGACCTGGTGCCAGAAGTCAGCTGATCAACTTTTCTGTTTGTCTTTGGCACTCCTATAGGTATGAGCAGGAGCAGGCCCTGGTTCAAGAGGAGCTGCTCCGGCTGGCCAAAAGAGAAAGGGAAGCAGCTGGTGAGGTGCTGAGTACTGCCCTTCAGCGGGAAAGGAGCAGCACCAATGAGGAGAGGAAGAGAGCAGCTCAGCTGGTGAGTAACGGCATCCGCTACGTTCCCATGCGGGACAGACTGGAATCACTCTGCTTGAAGGGGTTCATCAAATGTCACTTGTATGTTGAGTTTAGAAACTGCTTTAGTCTGAAATGCTGGTCTCCTCGTAACTCTACTCCTTGGCTTAGAGTGTAGTCAGCAAGCTGCACCAGTTGTTTCTCAGTGATTCTAAGGCCAGGCTTGCAGGGAATGGCACAAGCAATGACTGTGCTGAGAGCAGCCTGACCTGTGGGGGAAGAAGTATGAATGGTTAGTGTGCTTTGTGTGTATGGGCTTGTTATCTGAGACAGTGTGTTCTTTTAAACTGGCAAGTGTCTGAAACAAATGTATGCTTTTAAACTCTGCTGATCTGACCTGTCATGAAGCTTTGCTTTGTGTTCCTGGATTATGGTTGTGCAAGTACACAAATTAAAAAAAAAAATCTTGGATATTTATCATCCTGGTAACAAAATGTACTGATGCTTAATGCTCACTTGATACCATTTTATGTTGTGTTCCATTAAATACTGATTACTATGCCAATGCTGTACTGCCTGTACACAATACAGTATCTTACTGGAACTGCCACTTCTTCCTGACTTGCAGTGGGATGAGGTGGGACAGCAAGGTGGGGCTGTGCTTCCAGCACCTGAGGTCAAACTGCCTGTTTGTGTAAACTGTGATGTTGAAAATCTTTGTTGAGAAAACTGGGCTGAGAATAATTCTCTTAGCCTAGTGCATACTGAAAGAACGGCTTAGGAAGAGGGGACAGACTTGAGCAATGCTTGTTGTCTCTGTGTTCTGTCCTACTGATCTCTTGCTTGCACTTGATTGAACTGAAGAATCTTTGTGGTTTTTTTTTTTCTCTGTGTGCTGAACAGCAATAGGCACAGCGTAGCCAGGCGTGTGATTTTTGCTGTGAAGCATTTTGAAGTTACAGTCATAGAATTGACTTAGGTTGGAAAGGACCTCAATGATCATCAAGCTGAATAATAATACCTGGGGCTGAGTAAATAACATTTAAGTGAAAATAACTGTGCAATGGTTTGGACAGAAGACCTTTCTGACAGTAACCCATGGCAGATGCTTCTGGAGCGCATGAGAATAGAGCAGCCTTAAAGCAGTGCTTCCCACCTGTGTACCCTTGCAACTTCTGCCTTTCTGAGATATAGAGACTTCTTTGATTAAAAACTGTTTGATCACCTGGTGGTTAACAGTCGCATGCCTTCTGTGAATGTATTTGTTTGTGGGTTTGGGCCCATCAGTGCCTTCTGACCCCGTGGTAACCTGCAGCGCATGGCTGTGTTTGTAGAGCTCTGAGGTTGCTCTTGAAGGTATAGCTGGAAACTTCTGCTTGCCATATTGTGCCCTACCCATGAGAAGTCTGCCTGCTTGCTGAGCTTTAGGATAGCGATGTCTGAGGCAGGCTGTTCCTCTGGGTCAGCAGACACAGAGTTAGCTCTCTTCCCACTACAAGGAGTGTTATCTTTATGAATGCCATTAGCAGCTCTGTAAAGAGAGGTGGGAGAAGCTAGTGGATTCAGAAGATAAGGCCTGCCTCAGAAACAGAGGCCTGCCCTCCTGCAGTGGATACAGAGAGCTCTGAGAGCTGTGACTAACAGAGACGGGCAATAGTTGTGAAGTCTGAGGAAAGTACCTCTAAATTGAGCAGGGGGCTGACCTCCAACATACAAAGCCTGTTCTATTATCTGAATTAGCTTTTAATCCTGCAGTATCGCATGTCCAGATACTGAAAACTTGCTGTTGTGCAAAAATCTGATCAGGCTCTTCCTGTGTAACCTGTAAAATGTAAGTATTGGCCATGCAGTCTGGTGCAAGACCAAGAAACTGTTAAATTTCATTGCTCTTTAACTATCTCTTGATCAGTCATAAATTTAAGACTCTTAAAAATGAAACAGTCCAGCCTGTGCTTCCAAAGATGAGGTAAAAGCTGCTGTCTGTTAGTTGCTAGGTGTCTTGTGAAGCAGGAACTGTTTCTGTCAAGCTTGTAAAATTGTTAGGATCCCTATCAGGTTTGCTTTATCTCAGCTACAGTTTCCTTTCAGGCACCTTATTCTGCTCAGTCCTGCTCATATCTGCCCTTTGTCTTCCAGTATTTTCTTCCTTTATTTGGAATGGAGGTTGAATGTTTTTGCTCACTCTTCTAGCTGCTTTCTAGCCCTCAAATATTAAGTAAATAATGGGTGTGAACTGCACTTCCATCTCATCTGTATCTGTCATCCCTCTCAGGCAGGAAAGAGCAGTGGCAGTAGGTGTACCTGGTGGTAGTCTGGATGCAGGTGGAACGGGAAATTCTCTGCTGTTTGTAAAGGAAAGGGCTTTCAGTGTTCTTGTTTTTTGCTATGAGGGAAGCCAGAAGAAAACAGGACGACTCCCATGATGGAAATAAGTTGGTAATTTGCTTCTAACAGTACTTAACTTTGTAACAATTGAAAATCATGCCACGTATCGTTAGGAAGGTTTGTTTTATTATTTCTACTTTGATGCTTGCAGTAAGATCCTGAGCTGTGCTGTGCCCTGCCTGTATCACTTTGTCATGGCTGGCTTTCTCTGACAGTTGTCTCTAGCAGCGCTGCTATATTCTCCTTTTAAGTTTACCACTTGTGGATCATAAATCCAAATATGATAGCTGTATTTTGAAATGATTTCATTTTGATTGTGCTGAACATAGCTTGTCGTTTAATCTGTTCTTTATGACTTCCATCCTTCCTTTTATTATTGGCAGGATCTTTAAGGCATTTCAGTGAGACTAAGTACTGTGAAGTCCTGCAGAGAGCATGGCTAATGTTTGGTAGGGAACTTGCTGTCTGTTTCTGGGCCCTTCATGGTTTATAGGGTACAAATTAAAACTTGATCATCTTTTTTGTGAACAGTTCACTGGTTACAAAAGGATGTGGATCCTGTTCTACACTCTTCTCTTTTTTTAATAACTTTGAACAAGGTATTTAGGTTCTAGACAGCTTAGGTTTTGACTAACACTCTTTAAAGCTTAAGAAGTTAACAACTGTAAGTAGAAACACTGCAGCATTGTCTTCACTTTGAGCAAGTGTGGCTTCTGGTGACACGTGTGGGACTGGCTCAGGCAGAAGCAGCCTGCTCAGCTGCTGCAGGACAGCTCTCACCGCTTTATATCAGAAAATGTTTTCTTTGTGTGTCTCTGCAGGATCACAGTGCTGGCTGGACTCTTCAGTAATTTAATACCACAAGTACTTGCAGGACAACAAGGGTGATAGGTAGGGTACTTCAGAGCAGGGCCTGCCCTGTGTGACTAATGCTTGTAGTCTCATGTGCAATCCACAGGAATCAGTCTGTCTTTTTTTCTGAACTCTAGTTTGGGAAACTTCTGAAGTTATCACAGTTATTTAATTCCTTGGCTGTGTAGTGAATAGTCTTGCATTTTCCTAAACCTCCAATCATTCCTTTTTCATTTCTGATTAATCAAAACCTCGTCTCTTCTTGCTGCTTCTGGCTTTTTTTTTTTCTTACCAACAAAAGAAACTTTGCAAGCAAAGCTGCTCTTTTTTTTTTTCTTTTTCTTGGTTTTGTAATCTCCTAATGCTGTGCAATGTATGCACTGTGAGCTGTCGTCTCACAGCCGGTGACTCCCAGCCTGATGGCTTTTGCTGAAGCCTTTGAAACAAATCAATGTGGGATGGGGTTGGAGAAAAGCAGAAGCTGGTGGGGAGAATCCACACGATTAAGCGAAGACATCTCATTACTCCTCTAGAAAGGGAGGATTATAACTTATAAAATAGGAGGATCTCATTTAGGGGCCATGTGTGCCTGTGTTATCAGGACAGAGGGAGAGCAAATAGAATAAATGAAATTAATACTTTGAAAAGAAGCATTATGCAGATTTCAGAATCAAACTAATATGATTTGTGCAAAGTCCCGAAGTTCTTATCTCCCCGTTTAATGCCCCTTGGATAATGGCTTTGTCAGAGTTATTGACCGAGAGTCATCGTCTTCCGTACCGCTTGGAAAGAATGAACTCAGAAGTGGGGTGATGGTAGGACAAACTTTGCACCATAATTAGCTGTTTCAGGCAAGACTGAAGGGCATCACTTGCTGTGCAAGAACAGACTGTTCACAGAGCCTAAATTGCTGGGAAGTCCTCCCTCGGGCTGACGATGAGGGATGGCCGGCTGCTCCCAGCCCTGCTCTCTAGCTGGCTGGATGGTCGCCTCAGCTTTCTGGTGGCTCTTTGTGGTTTTGCTGGCCAGGAACGTGTGTGGGATGAAGTCCTTGCAGGCACCCATCCCTGGGTGTCCCAGCAGCCTATTTTAATTGGTCATAGGCAGCTGGATTCTTTTCAAACAATCTACTGCCCAGAAATCTGTTTGCTTTTCAGAGCCTCTCTTCATCCACCCCTGATTGGGGAAAGAAAGGTTGAAGACGGAGTGCTGAGTGGGAATGCCTGTGGTTGGGTCAGCAAGTTTTGATGTTGATGTGAGTGTGGGATTCTGAGCTTCAGGGCTTTGCACACAACATATGCTAGGTGTATGTGGTATGTACATGTTTAATGCATACCAGCTGGTATTTCCTTAGCCTGTTGGAAGGAATAATCCTATTGGCCCATTGGTGGAAAGCTTTCTTTGGTCTTCTGGTGACTGCTGAAGCTTCAAGCTCATCTTGCTTGTGTTCTTGCCTGTTATTGACCAGTGTTCCAGTTCAGAAGCAGCTGAACTGGAACTGAAAATGATTTTAGAAAGGGTGCTGAACCTGACTTAATTTCATTTGCTCTGTGTAAAGCTGGAGCTCAATTTCATCCTGGCTGGTTAACCCATAAGCAGATATCTCTGGTTTACACTGTCATTTCTTACCATTGAGATAATAAGCTGTAATGACCGACTGAGCTCCTATAGTAGCACAGTGTTTGTGACAGCATGGGGACATCTGTGAGGTGAGGCTGTTGCTTCTGGGCTCAGGCCTCTATCATCACTTGTGGTTTTTTCCCCTCCCCACGTGCATGAATTGAT